TCAACCCTGAGCCGGTGAGATTTGAACCGCTGAACTGCTGATCTAGCAGTAGCCTGCAGTGCTGCATTTAACCACTGCGCCACCTCGGCTCTTTTCAAAACCTGTTATGCCATCAGGCCTGCGAGCTGAGATGGTGAGTTGACTCCATTGTTACCAACATCTGCTCTTACCCAGGGGTGGGACTGGTTTAGACCGGTTCGGGCGAACCAGTAGCTCCAGAGATCGGCTGGGAGCGGAACCGGTTCGCTCCCATGAGCAAGTGGGCTCGCCCGCCTGTCCTAGTGCTTTACCTACCTTCTCAGCTGAGTCACGCGGCACTCTGCCACGCCTCAGATGTTTTCCTTCCCAAGCAGCCATCCGGAAGGTAAGTATTCTTTGAACTGTGCATGCACGCACAGTACGCGCCCTGGTGCATGCACTCAGGCAAACGGGTTGTTAAACTGGTAGGATCCCACCCCTGCTCTTACCCTAATATATGTTCTCTCTCAGCCTTTGGTTTTCTAAAATAATAATAATAATACAGGTAGTCCTTGACTTACAACAGTTTGCTTAGTGACCGTTCAAAGTTACAACAGCCTTGAAAAAAGTGACTTATGGCTGTTTTTCACACTTACAACCATCGCAGCATCCCCATGGTCATTTGCTTTATTATTATTATTTATTAAATTTATATTAAATTTATATGCCGCCCAATCCCGAAGGACTTTACTTTCGGGTGCTTGACAACTGACTCATGTTTATGACCATTGCCCTGTCCCCGGGGTCATGTGAACTCCTTTTGCGACCACCTGATGAGCCAAATCAACGGGGAAGATAGATTCACTTAACATCCACATTACTAATTTAACAACTGCAATGATTCACTTAACAAACGTGGCAAGAAAAGTCTTAAAATGGGGCGAAACTCACTTAACAAATTTCTCACTTAGCAACATCAATTGTGGCCATAAGTTGAGGACTACCTGTAATAGTTTTTTTTAAATATATATTAATCGCTTTTATCCGTGTTGTACATCACCCCTGAGTCACTTGTTTGTGAGATGGGTAGTTATATAAATCTGGCAAATAGTTTGGGGAAACGAAGCGCATAGTACAGCACATACCCTTAATATGTTTAGGCTCAGGATGTTATATACGACTCTTGGTAGATGAGCAGTAAGTACAAATGCAAACCATAGGGATTTGAGCGGATTTAGAAACGTCCTGTCCAAGGGCTAATTGTATTTATTATCCGTGAAACATGCAGAGGCCACCTGCACACTGAACTATAAAATAGCCAGTCCTATTACAGTTTGGTAGTTTATGACTTCATCTGCTATGCAAACTCAGGAAAGGGATTTAACTATGTCAATCAAGAAGTTGGAAAAAATGTTGGGCAACTACCTTTTGACCCCGCATCCAAAGTATCTCACATTCTACTACAGGGATCAGAGGTATGCTGCACTGAAACATGGAGGGTCTATTTTAGCCACCAGTCGGGGTGGGTGGGTGGGGGGAGAATAGCTATTAATTATATTCCCTCCCCCTGCTTACAATTAATCCTTTGAGAGACCGGCTTAAAATAAAGCTGTCACCAATTTTTGTGGCAACAAGTTTTGCAGATTGTTTGCCTACTGTTACAAAACATTTGGCCTCCAGAGAAAATGGGAATTTATTTTATTATGTAACTATATACAACAAAGAAGAAAAATCAACAAACGTCAATACATTCGCTTCTAGGCGCAGAAAGAATTTTTCATAGATTAAAAAGCACAACAAAATTGACTTTTGCTTGACCAACTCCTGTCTGCTCCCAGAAACATTTTAACTAATTCCCAGAATCCACTTGCCTTCAGTTGGTGGGAGGGTGTGCTCTGATGTGAAACTAACAGCAAAATCTTATATTTTCTTTTAACACCCCCCCCCAAATCAAGTGTCCTGAACAATTATGTACAAAAGAAATCACCATATATAACATGTATGAAAAGTTCCATGTTGCACCCGTGTATAAAGTGTCTCTGTGCATTTTTGCCTTCCTGCGTGGCCACAAATTCTACATCCCAAACGATCCTTCATCAGCCGGGTTTTGCCCTGTTAACTTGATGGGCATCCAGTTTGGGTTCCCCCCACCCCATCCCTCCTCTTCCTTTCTCCAAATCCTACGGAGCCAGTTATTCTGCTTGCTTTCTCCTTGGAATCTCAAGTTCTTTCTTGGTTACTGTGTACCTGCAACAAAACAGGAGGGAAATGCGTGAATCCATTTGAAGACAAACCATTCAAGATTTGAGTCGCAGCCAAACTTTCTCACAGTTAGGAAGAAGCAAGCAAGGGCCAAAACCCTTTTCTGGGGACGAAAAAAACCCAAGTTGCCAAGAAAAGAGACACAATTGAGCGGAAGAGAAAAAAATACAGGCAATCCTCGATTTATGACCACAGTGGGGAAGCAGAATTTCCATTGCTGAGAAGAGCAGCTGTTTAGATTACAGATGAACAGAGTTGGAAGGGACCTTGTAGGTCATCTAGTCCAGGGATCTCCAACCTTGGTAACTTTAAGCTGGCTGGGAAATTCTGGGAGTTGAAGTCAGGCAGGCTTAAAGTTGCCAGAGTTGGAGACCCCCTGATCTAGTCCAACCTTCTTCCCAAGGAGGAGACCATACACCATTTTGACAGGTGGCAGTCCAGTCTCTTCTTGAAAGCTTCCAGTGATGAAGCTCCCACAACTTCTGAAGGCAAGCTACAGTATTCCATTGGTTGATTGTTCTCACTGTCAGAAAATTTCTCCTTATTTCCAGCTTGAATCACTCCTTGATCAGTTTCCATCATTATTCCTTGCCTGGCCTTTGGGTGCTTTGGAAAATAGGATGATCCCCTCCGCTCTGTGGCAGCCCCCCA